CGATGGGTACCCCGCCTGACGCGGGGCGTTAACGGCCGCGTCGAATTTATCAAGCAGGGTGAGGTACTGGTGGTTTAAGATCGCGATCAAAAGTCAAACCAGGACATTATGCGATCCACATATGGTAAATATGTATATAAGGCAGACACATCCCAAACAAGAAAGCAGAAGAATATGTGCATACGGCAACCTGTATCTTTCACCAACCCTACAAGAACAGACATAAGGACTAATGGCGGAGGGACCTAGGGCACACGACCACAAGGAAAAATGCAAAAGACTGTGAGCCAAACGCGGCAGCCTGAAGCAACAAGTTGAGGGACAAGGAAAAAAAGGAACAAGCCAACAGACAGCCAACGGGCCAGGTACCAGCAAGGGAAGATAAAGCAGTGAGGCAAAGGGCGACAAAGCGACAAGACTCTAAACAAGAAGCGGTTGCACCGTTGCAGGGTACAGGCTGGTGGGCAAGGGCGAGGCGGGTGGTCTAGCAAACAACACAAAGCAGATAGAGGAAAGAAAGCCCAAAGCACAAGAACCACACTGAAAGAAATCATCAACCTGGTAACAACCACTTTGTGCTTCAATTTCTTCAGCGGGCTAAGGTCTTTGACTCTTTTGTTATGATCCTGGCCAATTTCGAAGTACACATTCATCAGAAAGTACAATGCCGTCCAATTGCAAAAGAAAGGAATGAACTTGAGAGGAGAGAGAGGGAAAGAAGAAGAAGATGATGTACACCAGCATTGACCAATGATAATGCTCTTCTTCTTCGCCAACCTCTCTCCTCCTCCTTATCTCCTCCCCTCTTATTCAAACAAAAAATAATAATAATAATGTTGAATGGCTGAACCAGAATCAATGTCCGAGTCCCTCTTCTACTGCAGGTATCACATGAGGTCCACCATAGCCATGGCCACCCTTCTTTCTCCTCCTTCCGCGGCCGAGGCTATGGTGGACTACCAGGGCACTGCCCTGCTGTGCAGAGGACAGCACACAAGGCAGCTATGGCTGCTCTAGCTCAGGATGCCATGCCTGACTCTGCCTCGAAGCTTCTTGGTGTAGCTCCACCTCCATGGGGGCCTTCCAGATGCAGCGCCCACCAAGGTGATGAAGGTGGCATCCACCATAGCCAGGTAAGTACCTCTGGCGCTCCTCCCTCCTAATCCTGGTCTTCTTCCTCCTCCTGTCCTTGCTCCTCCCCAGCAGCACTGCTCTGATGCTTGCGCTGCTCCAGCCAGCTCTCCAACCAGTGTGTCACCAAACTTGCACACCGACAATGAGGAGGAGCACCTTGCTCCTCCTGGAGATATAGCGGCCTGCTTGCCTCTTGGCGATTTCCTAGTCCGCATGGCTTCAAGCAACCGGTACCTACTCCTTTTCAGAGGGAAACATCATTGCAGACTCTGATATTGCCCGTACAGGCCCTAGACTCAGACTGGTTGGACTGGTACCCGCCCAGACCTAGCCTACAACTACTGGGCCTATAAAAATGCCGGCTTGGTCTTCTTCTGCTCGGCCTAGAGTACCCAGCACATCTACCTCTACCTGGTGTGGTACCGGCCTACCTGCTACTTGAGTGTTTTTCCGCTGCTTCAAGTGTCGCGGGCCTGTTTCCCCGCCACTTGAGTGTTTTCCCAGCTGCAACCCTCGATGTCACGGCCATAGGTAAGTACTGGCCCTTTGGGCCTTCTGAACGAACAAGTGCCCTTGCGGGTCACACACACACTCAAGCGGAGAAACACTCAGACAGGCATGCAGACCAGCAGGCACACATGCACACAGACTTAGAAAACTCAGCAACAAGCGGGAAACTCAGAAAAGGCATACATTCCATGAGCAACACTCAGAAATCAGTTGTGTGTCTCACTCCGTGTTTGGCAGGTCATGACACTACCCCCCTCTCAAGAGCGAGGTCCCTTCGACCGAGTAGCTCATTTTGAGTCTTCGACAAACGCATCGTAAGCGAACATAGCAAAAAGATTTCGTGAGTACTCCATAGCAGTGAGTTTTGCAGCAATTTTTGGTACAACATTAGAGGCTATCTGTCGCTCGTATGCTTTAACCATGCGAGGTGCGCTGCACAGCAGTTCCTTCTTTGAGATCCAATAGAGATCATCCAACGGGTGATACATGAAATGAATCTGGTACTGTCTGTTACGTCCTTCCCAAATGTGACCTTTAATTCTATCTCGTGACCGCCATTTATTGCACGGGGGATCATGTTCTCATGATATTTGAAGGTTTTAGCATCGCGATATATAAACAACTTAGACGCGTGAAAGACTGGGTAAGTGCGCAGATGAGGAGGCATGACAATTACATATGAAGGACCGAACTTATATTGCCAATCACATCCAAAACTTCCCACGGACCATAATAGAGAGGGAAGTTTGC